GGACTCACGCGGGGCACCCGCCCCACCTGGGCTCGGTCCTTCCCCTCTCTCTCTGCCAGCACTACGGCACCAATCTGCCGTCAGCTTCCGGAACACGGACACACGGACACGCATGCTTTGTTGCCCGGGGAGCTCTCCCAGGACCATCGGGCTCCGCGGACCGGGGATGGCTCTGGCTCTAACAGGTGGGACCCTCAAGTTTCCCAGTGTGGGGCTGACGGCTGACCCCATGCCTGGACGTCTAGTCCCCCTGATGGTGTGTGTGTGTGGGGGGTACTTGGATTGGGGCGGGCGGGCTGAACGGTAGGCAGCTGGCCAACTGGGGTTGCCGGCGACCCTGTCCACGTGAAGGGCTAGGGGCCCCGCATCTGTCCTGCTGTGTCGGGGGGACGCCGGGCGGGTCTGACCACAGCGGTGGGGAATGCCGCGGAACGTGGGTGGCCTCCCACGGGAAGGGCTAGTGGACTTGTGGGGTTTGCAGGTGGCAACCGCCAGGAGCCACCGAGCGGAGCAGCAGGAGTCGGAGAGAGGTCCTCCCTGTTTTGAGAGCATTAAGAAAATGCTCCCCGCCCCCCCTCTGGGGAGGTTGTGGCCGGAGGCCCATTCCGGACGACACCCCCGTCTGATTTCTGGGCCTGAGCAACGGCTTGGGAGGGAGGGCGGGCCTCTTTCTGGAGAGGACTGTGACCGGGGGAGGGCGGTGCTGGCCCGGGGGGGCTCCCGACTGACACTGACCTGGCCGCCAGATGCAGCCCCTTCCCACCCCGAGGTGGACTTGGGCGTAGCCGGCGCCGGAGGGAGTGCCGCTCGAGCCGGGGACTCACCGTTGCTGACGTAGGCGGAGGCGGTGACTGGCCCCTGAGCTCGGGGCCCATCGTCGGGGCCTGCCTTGTCATCGGCCCCCAGACCCCGCTCGCCTGCCCTCGGGCTTCGCCATCCGCGCCACGCTCCCTGGCGTGTGGGGGCAGGAGGAGGCGTCTAGAGGCATTTGGGATGGGCGACTGGAGTTCAGCGTTCAGACTCTCCCGTGTGTCTTGGAATTTTGAGCATTTGTTAACCCTAAACATACAGACCGCTTCCTATGCGTGTCCCACAGCGGCAGCCAGTGGGCAAGGACTCAGCGCGTTGGGGGGCTTTTCTGGCTTCCCGGCTGAGGGGCGTACCGTGCACCCTGGTCAGACTCCGGGCTTTTCTTCTTTAAGGACAGACTCTATGAGGGACGCGGCGTGTTGCGGCGGAAGGAAGGCTGCTCTCGGGGCCAGGCCTCCCGACACTGGCCGCCTGCCCCCCCCCCGGACGGGTGGGATGGAGGGGTGGGCTCCTGCCCTCGGAGGCGTCGCGTGGTGGCACGGCCCGTGCTCCCGTGGGAAAGGGCTCACTTCCCTGTGGCACGCGGCCACAGTATGGATGCCAAGGTCACGCCTCAGGGCCAGCCACACGCGCCTTGCTGCGTTTACTGCTGAGCCCCTGTACCCACAGGAGAGGGGGCAAGGGGAAACCGTCTTCTACCACATTCCATCTGAAGGCAACGCTCCAGCAAAGCCTCGGGGCCCAGTTCCCAAAGAATCCGCATTCCAGGTGGGTCCAGAAGCAGCCTGCCGTCTCCCCTTCCTGCAGGCTCCTGGCCCACAGACACAGGGGCAGCACGCTCCTGGGGAGGGGTGAGTCACTCAGGGATGCCGGCGACAGCTCGTGGGGGAAGAGATGGGTTGCAATTCGTATTTATAGTTACTAAAGAGCATTTTCCTAAAGTACCCACAAATGGAAGTATATATATATTTATCTTTATATTTATATATATATAGGACTTAATTAGATGCTCTATCAAGGAAAAGCACAAATCTACAGTTTCCTCCACCAGCAGCTCTTTTCTGTCCCATCACAGAATCCTTAGAGCCCCGCCACACGGCGCCTGCGTCCTGGGCCCGAGGCCGGAGGAGTCAGGGTGTGGCTGCCTTGCAGGTGTAGACACTGGCTTATCAGAGCTTCCCAGATGCCTTCCCTCACCCCTCCTTCCACAGCCTGGCTTCCTGTCTCCGATTAGGCCTCTCAGAGCCCGCCCGGAGACAGAGGCAGCCACACTCCCCTCTCTCGAGGCGTCGGGTGAGGCCACCCGTGATCCCCGAAACGTGCACTCTGCCCAGGACCCGGCCGCGTGGTGGCACAGAGCATCCTGGCCGCTCAGGAGAGGGCACTGTCCTGGAATCGAGCCGGCGGAGGGGAGGGAGGGAGAAAGGCTGCCTCGAGCAGTGTTTTCCCAACGGGGCGATCCGAGGGGTGCGGTGGGCTGGGGTCTCTGCTTGGACGTGGTCTCACCCCCACAGGCCGGTCAGTGTTTCCGAAGGGCAGGTGCCCCGGTGACTTCCCGAGGCGGCGCGGAGGCGTGTGGAGCCGCCTTCTGGCTTCCGCCGTGGAGGGAAGGCACTCTCCCCTCCCCGTCTGGGTACCGGGCCGTCCCCAAGCTGGGCGGCTCCAAGGGCATTATTTGTAGGGCCGCAGGAATCGGGACACTTTGGAGCGCAGCAGCTTGATGAAGGACCGTGGGAACATCTCCTTGGACTCCTGGGCTGTGTACTTGAAATAGTTCTGGGGGTGTGCCAGCACATCGAACAGGGCCTTGATGAGCTTTTTGTCCTGTAAGACACGGCGAGGCGGGCGGTGAGGCCGAGTGGGGGGCCGGGGGCCCCCGCCGCTCGCTTCTCCAATGTCTGGGGTGGGGTGTCCGTGAGGACGGGGGAAGGAGGAAGAGTCTACACTGCTTGGTGGGTTTCAGGATCCCACAGACTCTCTTTGCCACGAATTCCTTTCTGATTTCTTAAGGGTTTACTGGTTTGGACTTGGCAATGCAAAATATTTATTTCAAATGGGTTCTGCAAAACCAAACCCAAGTAGGGGCGCCCGGGTGGCTCCGTCGGTTGAGCGTCCGACTTTGGCTCAGGTCATGATCTCGCGGTTTTTGAGTTCGAGCCCCGCGTCGGGCTCTGTCCTGACAGCTTAGAGCCTGGAGCCTGCTTTGGACTCTGTCTCCCCGTCTCTCTCTGCCCCTCCTGCACTCACGCCTCTGTCTCTGTCTCTCTCTCTTAAAAAATTCATAGACGTTAAAAATATTAAAACAAACAAACAAACCAAAATAGGACGTGTTGCTGAGGCCCTGGCTTTTGAGGCCCACAGTCCGGGGTCTGAGAGCTCAGCCCCGTGTACACACCAGCCCTTTCACCGGAGGAGGGTGAGCCTCGGCGCTCAGGGCGGGGCCCGTGAGGATCTGAGCAGCAAGCATGGGCCAGAGGCCATCTGCACCAGGACTCGCTGTCACCATGAGACTTGGGCCACACTTGCTGTCCAGGGTCTGCTCTGTCCTGGTGCCCGCTCATGCTCTCTCTCTCTCTCTCTCTCTCTCTCTCCCTCCCTCCCTCTCACACAGGCGCTCACACATCCTTGCCCTTGGGAAACACAGAGCTCTTCCTGTTTTGCAGGAGCAGGGCCAGGTGCTGGGAGAGGACCCCCTATGGCTCCTCCACCGAGAGGGAGGGAGTTGACTGAGGCAGGCGCCAACGAGGGCTGCGTGGGGCTCTAGGAGTCTGTGACCTGCGCAGAGGAGGGGCACCTAAGCTGAGGGCAGGACAGTGGGACGTTCACTGAGGAGAGCGGCTGGGGAAGAACGTTCTCGAGAGGCCCTGGCGAGGGAGTGGAGGGAGCGTGGAGGCCTGAGAACCGCTCGGAGGCAGGTGGTGGCCTCGCTGGTCCAGGTTTGGTCCTACGTAATGGAAACGCTTCTAGCTCTGGAGAGATGCTCTCGGCTGCAGGGTTGGAGCTGAGGGCAGAGGGCCCGGGGTGGCAGGGGACGGGCGAGGAGGAGAGTCAGGATGGACCGATGGAAAGGCCAGCGTGACCTTCTGGTTCCTACTAAACAGAAGGAACTAAACAGGCTCCGAAACGTCCAGGCCTCACCCCGGTTGCGGCAGCATCAGGGGCAAATCCCTCTGCCTACAAACCGCCTACTATGTGCAGGGGTGTGCCAGGCCCGGGGCTGGAAGACCTGAACTCTGCGAGCCACCCGTTTCTTAGAGGGGTTGCCTGGGGCCACCGGGCGGGTAAGTGACAGCTAGAACAGGGGTCAGCGGGGGCGGGGGGACTGGCCTGGTCCTGCTCTTGTCCCGTCCACCTCAGCTCCCGGGCCGGGAGAGCCGTCTGCCTACAGGCTGGGCTGGGGCCGGACCCCCAGAGCCCGAGCAAATCCCTGGGTCCAGCCTGGTCACTGCCCACTGCGTGACGGCCACAGCCCCCCTCGACGACAAGGAGGCTCTGCTTCCCAAGCCATGAGCAAGATGAGGAGACAGGTGGTCCCGAGGGCGAGGGTGGATTCTACCGACTTTCAGCTCATTTCACAGGCGGGGAAAGTGAGGCCAGCAGAGGCTCAGGAAGCTGCCCAAAGACTAGTCACCAGGTCCTGGGCCAGACACCCACCAGGGAGCCGGCCTCGGACCTCCCGGTCTGCAGGGACACATGCACTGGAGCCAGGCCCCGCCCCCAGGCCCCCCCCCCGCCCCACCCTCCTCCTCTCCTGTCACCACCCTCCCCCCGCTCACGTCTCTGGGGGCGGGGGTGGCCCTGGGTCATCACAGGCCACTATCCTGGGATCACACGGATCCTTTCCCATAAAGGAGCTCACTCACTTTTAAAATTTCCTGGTGATTCTCCGAGGCGTAGAGCCGTCCGTCGCGAACGATGTCTTCTATTAATTGCTGGTAGTCCTCTGCGAAGCCCGCCGGCGGGGAAGGAAGGGCGGTGAAGGCTCCAGACCCTGCCTGCCCTCCCCCCTCACCTCTGGCCTCTGCCCTGACCCACTTTCAGGCTTCAGCCCTTGGCCAGAGCAGTCCTGCCTCCGAACCTCTGTACCCTCCACCCAAACTGTTTTCCTCGAGCTTTGGCGAGCAGGAAACTCCTACTCAACCCTCAGAACCCTGCCTGGGCAGCACCTCACGCTGAAGCCCACAGACGCCACTAAAGGCTCCCTCATCTGCACCACCCCTACCCCTGTGTGCCTGTCATCTCTGTGTCTGCGGGGCCGGCCCGGGCTGGGCGCATGCTGCAGCCACACGTACCGTCGTAGGTGACATAGGGCACTTGGAACCCTTTGCCGCTGTTGCCTTCGTTGGACTTGAACTGGATCCAGAGCTTCCGGGAGCGGGAGGTGAAGGCGATGGGCCTCTCGTAGGTCTGGCAGGTCTCGTAGGTGGTGATAGACGTGGGTGAGGCTGGGGGCAGAGCCGAGGACCTGAGTGGCTCGCTGATCCACAGCTCTGCACCTGGCCCCTGTCCTCCTGCTTTGGGCCGCGTGTCCCCCCACACCGGTCAGCCACCCAGCCCCCACATCCAGTCCCCCGAACAGCCCAGCTCTGATCTCCACCCTTGTTCCCTCTGCCTCAAGTGCCTGGCCTCACCCTCAACCCCAGTTCCCACTCATCCTGTGGAGACAGGTTTGTGTCTCCCCGTCCAGGAAGCCTTCCTGACTGCCTGCCGTGTTCCTGCTCTGCTCTGGTGAACCCTTTGTCACGGCCCCTCTCTGCTGGGTTGTCACTGTCTCCCTCTGGAGGGAGGGACGCTCCCCCAGGACAGGGCTCACGCCTGTACCCAGCACGAACCAGGGCCGGGGTGGAGGATCACATTTGGGAAGTCCCCTCTCCCTGTGAACAGATGAACAGGAGTGAACCTGCTGACCCTGGGGTGCGTGGGGCTGGCCAAAGGGTCCCCCACCTCCTCACTGCTCCCTGGGGAGCCTACCTGAGGTGCCCTGCAGGCGGGAGAGGCTGACCCCCTAGAGTCCAACCCTGTGGTCAGGA